ATTAAAAAGTATACTATTATGCCATAAATACATTTGTTATTAACAATCTAATTCCATCTTTACAACACGTAATTTTTTCCAAAATTACTACTTTTAAATTTCTCCTACATTTATGCAAAATTTTATGGTAATAACAAAATTATTTCAATAGAACGTTTCAAACCAAAATTGAAAAGAAATATGCTATCTTACAAACCAGGGAATTGGTCGACAATAGGTTTTATTTTTTTATTTTCTCATTTATTAAATATTTCAAAGTGTGTACTAACTGTTACCATAATAAAATGGACAAAAGTAAAAAAAGAAATTAATAAAACAAAATTAAAATTACAAAAACGTTTATGGCATCGTCTCATATTAAAAATATTAAACATTGGAACATTTGCAACTATATAATTTATTGAGGTCTCAAGAATTTATTGATTGTTGTATTATGATTCTTAGTGTGAATAAAATAATTCACAATAGAGAAGTTATTTTACTTTTGTATGGCAATATTTATTGTTATGAATTGTTGTAGTGCACAACGATAGAATAAAATTTATATTAGGAAACTAATAACACTTTAATTTATCATTTCATATCAATAGACAAATTGGTATTATTGAAGCTCCTTATAATTAAGGTAATCGTATTATACTTGAATTTTAACTAATACAAATTGAAATATTTTATGAAGATTATGTGTAATTTGTTTTAATTTCTTAACCTTTTAAAAAGGTCAATCGTATTTCGTACACACGAACTATTTATTTTCTGACAACATGGTATACAACACTAATATGTAAAAGTTTCGAATTGTATGCGAATACTATGGTTTTCGTGGTTTTGTATTAAGTACCATGCTTTCTTAATAAATTAAAAATCACTAACACGATTACAAATCTATAAAAATCAATCAATAAAATCCAAATGAAGATTTTATAAAATCCTTATTTACAAACTATTTCACATTGACTTTAATTTTTCTAATTTATTGCCGTCTATCACCATATTATTATTATTGTTGTCGTTTTAAAGTGCAAATTATTTCCATTCTAATAAATTGTATTGATTTACGATTTCAATTTGAGAAAAAATTCAATTTGGATAACAATAATTTTTACCGCATCTAAAAATTTCAAAAAAAAAAAGCTTTTAAATCAATTGCCAATTATATTAGTGCACTCCAATATCAAAATGTAAATTCCAATTAAATGGTGATTAAACATACACACATGTTTTTCAAAATAATTATATTATGAGCCCATTAACTATTAAAATCATTAAATATTCTACATATATGTATGTAAATAATGTATATATATATATATGTATATTTATCATATGTAATGAAAATCGATCTCCCACTTGGTATAACAATTGAGTAAGTTTTTTTTTCAGTATTTTGCTTTTAAAATTATGCTTTTTAGTTTTATTAGATTTTTTGATTTTTCTTTATTTTTTCTTTCAAAAATCATTTTCCATATTCATTTTACAATCACTTGGGGGAATTATAAGTATATTACTTTGTTTGTCATATTATTATTACGAGTGTATTACAAGTGTATTATTACTCAAATCAGACTTTTATCAATCTATATTTCCACCAAAGTAGTTCATTTCATATCTACAATAATTATTGAATTTAATCAAATGTAAAATTGTCTAATGAATTATAAAGTACTTACTTTGTCCAATTTACTTTTAAATATAATTACCATTAACCTTAATCATGTTATGGTTTATGTGTGAAATTTAATAAGTTGTAGTCCATTAGACATCCATGTACATATGTTGGTTCTCAAACGGTTTCAAGTTAAAATTTATTTAGAGACAAATACAAAGACAAATTTCAGACGATTTGTTCGTTTTTTTCATTTTACATAAGTAAGTGCAATATTTTGTGGGAATATAGCATTATTTTCTGAATTAAAATCACGCTAAAAGTAAAAAAGTGATTTATGAGTGGGTATTTTATTGTTTTGCACTTTTGGCCTCAATGAATCAAACTAGCCAATTTTGTAATAATGAAATTGGCCTCACATCTTTCTAGTTTATGTATTTTCTCTTTTTGGCCCTTACCCCACTTAGGAGCATTAAAAACTTCCACTTGACTTTTAAAGTGAAGCATTGGTTTCACAAGTTATACAGTTAACTAGGCGGTGACCAACCTCCCGTAGTTTTTTCCCTATATTTTAATATTTAAGGTTAATAATATTTTGTTTGCATTGAATATCGAATATTATGGCATAATGGTCACGTTAATATTAATATTTTATTTTTTAATATTTTATAATATGAAATACTATATATAATACCTGACCAAGATTTGAATCCGGGGTTCTTCGATTAATGGATATTTTTATAATCACTACACCATTGGTAAGACTTTTTTTTAAAAGCCTGAATCTATTTAGTGCCTTTATTGTTCTTGATATTGCAATTCAACTCTTTTTATCCCAACTAATTAAGAGTGTTGTCTGGGAAGAATGTAAGGGAATATAATTAAAATATTGTTTTAATTATAAACACAACAAATCCAAAAAATTGTTTTCAAATAATTTTAAATGTCGAATCCCAAATTTGTTTTTTTAAAATATTTTGCAGCTGGAAACTTAGAATAGCTGGTTTTGTTTTTTTTTTCAAAATATTTTAGATTAATCAATTCTGATTTAGCCGTTTCTATCTCTTTAATAAATTTCAATTTTCATTTTTTAAGGAAATGGGACTGCCAACATAAAAGAACCGCAAACATGGTTTAAAGTATAATGGTTTCCATCAACCTAAAACGAACACTAAATATTCTGATTGATTTATCATTTTCCCTTGCTTAATCATTACTTGTTAAATTAATTGCGCTAAATCCCCTCTATTTTAATAAAACCTAAATACTTTGTAAAAAGCGCGTATTCTAAATAAAACCACAAGTAAAATTTTTAATTTCAACCCCTTTTGAATTAATCAGTACAGATAAAATATACACTAACTACATTCTGACTAGATAAACTCACAGATTATAGATTTATAATTAAAAAATCATTCGTAACCATGTACACGTTTATGTGTGTTTGTATATGGGTATGCTTTGTAGTAAATTAATGAGTTGTCATTTAATAGAACAAAATATTTTTCTACCTCATTCTTATATACATGTGCATGTGCTTACATATTATCCTAATGATTTATTCCTGTTATAATTATAAGAATTTTCCATTTAAATAAAAAATCTACTCTTGATTAAGTATGTTTTGTTTTCTTTTATAATTAGTATTCTTATTTTAATATTAAAGATTTAAACTCTCTAAGGAATTCAAAAAGATTATTGAGACAAAGGACTCAAAGAAGAAATTTTTAATTATCGTAAATATGTAAATTTATATATGTATAATATAAAATATTTATTTAGAGCAACGGTTTTATTACACAATAAATTATCAGAGAAGTTTTTATTTAACGTTTTAATGAAATCTCAATTTCTATTTAATCTTCAATCCGTTTAACGTTTAAGATATTTCCTCCATTATTTTGGGCTTCCATTCAAATAGTTAAGTATACAATATTATCGCCTTGAATTTTATTTATAATTTTCCAATTAAGTATACTGAAGTTTTTTTTTTGAAACGTTCACCAGTTTTTTTAATCTTCCATTATAAAAACGTTTTCGTTGAATCGTGAAATTGTGCCATTTAAAAACAGTTAAATAAAATAAAAATAAAACAAAATAAAAAAAAATAAATTGTTCCTTTGATTATATTTGAAATCCAGGATAATTAAACTGCAGACATTATTAGTAATAGTCTAGTCCTAAAGGAACTTCATATGAAAAATAAAACAAAGAACAAACAAATTGTCAAAAACATTAAAATATTTCCTAAAAGGGAATTGAAAAGTAAGACATGCAATTATTTTTTTAAGCCTCATACTGCAATTTTAGATATCATAATATCGTAATTTTGTATACATACAAAGTATGTAAGTGCATAGACCTATTTATAATAATGTGGTTAATGCAAATTTCAAAGAGTCTTTTTGTGGAAAATAATTTGTTATTTAAATGTGAATTTGTGCTCGAGTGTTTTGATCTTTATTATATAAAATAAGCATACATTGCCGAATTGCAGCAATAATGTCAGAACTCAAATTTCTTAGCTTTCACAATATTGTTTTTAAGTTTTTTCTTAAATTATTTGGATGGTACATGTTTCAGCTCAGATAGGTTAGTTGAACTTAAAATTAGTCCATATTCCCCATCATGAAAAATAGTTAATATTTGTAGCTAATTTTTCGGTGGTCAAAAAATTTTTTCAACGTGAAACGTTTCATGAACAAGAGGTAAGTGGACAATGGGGTTAACTAACATTTTGACGAAAGCTTTTCAGATAGAACATCATTAAATTTCATATATTTTCAACAGTGATTATTCTTATAGCTAGAAACTTAATAGAAGACGAGATTGGCAGTGCACATAAGAGATAATTAACAAAAAAAATTAATAGTTTTAGAATTTGTTAATGAAAAAATGTGTTACAATGCAAATGTAAGTTAACCCCTTTGTACACTTACCGCTTCAATTCTCACCATTCTGCAACAATCGAACGACATAATTTAGGCAACAATCTCTATATTTCATATTTATTTGCTTGCATGCATCATAAACTTTAATTTGTTTATTTAGACTTTGAATATTGTGTAAGGTGTGGAAGATACGTGATTAACACTTAAATGAATTGAAATTAAATCTATATGGACAACTTTTTGAACTTTCAAATGAAGAATGCACGCAACTATTGTTAACAATTTTTTACATGTATGTGCCCTTTTGCATACGTGTTTGCTTTTCCACTTATTTGAAATCTTTTTGACAGGATAATAGCTATTTGAAATGGTGTACAGTTAATAGGTAAACATATGCTTTTTCAATCCAATTATTGGGAGTAATATTTTATTTTTTTAATTTTTTTAAAAATATTTTTCAATCAATCAAATTAATATAATTATTTATTAAATTTCTTTTTCAGGTACGTTTACATTAAAATTTAAATTGAATTCCTGTCAAGCAACTTTACCACTACCGTACGTAAGTTTTTAGTTTATTATTTATTTTATATTTGTGCCATTTTAAATTATTTTATCTCAAATATATAGAGTGATTCAGTAAAGAGTATAACATTATATCTTTGTTTTATAACACTATGTTTTTGAACGGGTAAAATTACTTTTTTGAACTAGTTGCGTTGACTAGTAAATGTCAGATACAAGCATTTAACGAGTTTTCACAAATTTTCTACTCGCCCAAACTTTATACCCGTTACTAAATCACCTTATATTTACTGTTTAATAAATAAGAATTACGTATAACAAACAGGTTAGATATCGAAGTACAAGTACTTGGAATTTTGAATTTTTATCGAATAAAAATTATAAATCTGATACATGAAGGGGTTAATGAATACATACATTAGGTAATGTTCTTAACAAAAATCGAATGAGTACACAATCGTTTTAATAGAATTACTGAAAAATTAGACTTATTAAGATTTCTTAAGTCAACTACTTCAAAAATCTTTTATTCAAATAACTAAAATAATATTAATCAAAGAGTTCATTTGGTGTTCCGGAGTTTTTTTTCACGCCTTATTTTTTTAAATTACATAACATATTGAATATGGGGATAAACGCAATTTTCAAAGAATGTTCAAGGTATGAATTGAAGGAAAATGAAATAAATTAAAATTTGTTTCTGTAGATGTAACTCAAAAAATGGCTCTATAGTATTGGAAAGTGACTGTATGTCCATGCACATAATTTTTCAGTTTTTAAGTTGATAAATTCATTGGAATGTTATTAAAGGTTTAACAGCTCTCGAATATTTCCTACAAAAGTAAAAATTTAGGACTGTATAGGTCGATGAAATACAATCGTAAACTTTTACATTTAAAAAACTTTTACATTTGTTTAAAATTTTTGTATTTAACTATTTTAGCCAAGATTTTCATAATACTTAATCACATTATTAATTACTAGTGTTTCGGAAGTTTCAAAAGCTTGCTTTTATATTTATTTTACGAAATTCTATGTAATTTGTATGTACATATATTTGGGAACGATACCCAAATACTCTATTAGAACCAATTTAAATTACATTAAAACAATAAAGTATATAAGTCGGGCACATTACAACATTATATATAAATATAATTCAGTTGATAAATTTCAAATTTAATTGAAGTGGTCAGTCTGATTTGTTATTTTTGAAAATTATTTACTAAAAATTACAATTACAATATTATTTAAAAAGGGGGAAAAACGAAATTAAATAAAAATTTTCTTTTGAAAAACTGGTGCTTTTTTTACAAATTTTTCCTTTCTATTGTTTGCCTTTTGAAAAAGTTAAGTGAGTTAAAATTTAAAAAATATTAAGTTTTACTTTGTAACTTTGTGTATTTTTTGTGAAAATTGTAAAAAGGCATCAGAATTTTATGAGAATTTCCACATTGGTCGATGAAAATGGAAAAAACAAAATTCAGTGTTGTGCTCTTTTTTCATTTTTCTGTCAAAAAAGAAAAAAAAAAATAAAATCCTTCCAACAATTATCCTGCACCTTTTATCGAGAAAGTTTTTCATTTTTAGAAAAATTTCTAAAAAAAAAAGGCAAAATCTCAAATGAAAATCAACAATTACAAAACATTTAAAAAGTTTTCTTGCTTAATTTCTTCCATTTTTTTATTTTCGTCCTGATTTTTTTTTTCATTTTTTTTTGCATTATTCGATAGCTTTGTGCTAAATTTCCTTGATGTTGGTTGCTTTTAACTTTGAAAAAAAAAATTTTTTTTTTATTATATTATTTTTGGCTTCAAAAAAAAATAATAAGGAAAATGAGAAAAAAAAATCATTTCTGCTTAATTTTCTAAAAGCATTTACACTTAAGGGGTGTAATAACAATCAAAACTAACAGTCAAGTAATTGAAATTGAAGTTTAATTATTGTTTTCCAGCAAAAAACTCCTAGCGGTTTATACACAAGAAAATTTTAAAGAATTTTCAAAAGAAATAAAATAAATTAAAGTATGTCTCCATAGATGTCGCTAAAATTGGGACATTGACCGATTGAAATTAAGTAGAAACGAGGACTCCTTGAAGATGACTGTAACAAATATGAAATGTTTGGGAATTTGACCCCTTTCCGATACAACAAAAGTTAAAGTTTTTGTCATAGAGAAAATTTTTTTGAAATAAAAATAAAGTTTTGAACTGTTCTGATAACAGTTAAGAAATGGAACACGTACAGTGTATTTTCGTTCGTTAATGCAATAATTAATTCGGTTTTTAGAGTCTAGCATAATTGGTTCAGAAAACTGCTTCGAAAACATATTCTAAAAATATTAAAAATAATGTTTGGAGAAATATTTAAATAATAATTTCGTGCAACATTACAAATGCAAGATTTTAAAAGGATATGCCTTGCAAAGCAATTGTTTGACTTCTAATTTTTGCTTTTGTTGCTTTTTTTGGATCCTAAAGTTTTCTTATCACAGATCAAAAATTTTTATGGTCTACTACTAAATAAAACACAATAATGAAAATCAAAGAGCAAAAGCAATTATTTTCGATTGTACCGACTTATGCAAGTAAATGAAATATTTGTTGGTTCAGAAAATAGGCTTTTAAACAAACCATAAACCATGAGTTTCACAGTAACTAATGAAAAATCTTTTGTTAAGAATCTTAATTTTATTAAATGAACTTGTAAATCTGTAACGATGTAATAATAATATGCGTTAATGACACCCTGTGTTAAGAAATTTTTGTCCAAAAATTGTGGCATTTTCTGTGTTATAATTGTTATAAATTTTATCTTTATTACGAATTCAAATGTCTTAAATTAGAAATTTTAAAAAATTTTAAGCATATATCAAAGGACCCGTTTTTCAATATTTTTTTTGAAAACTGTCTATCTAATAACTATATTTTTTACTGCTCACACACGCATAGTACGATAATAAAATAAAATAATAGCCATACTTAATAGAAATATTATTGACCAAACGCTGATCGAACTGTGATCAGCGTTTGGTCACTCAAAAAGTGATTTCCGCTTTTGATCACTAAACAAGAATATGTTTACCGTGTACATGGTGTTTCAGATATTGTCAAGAAGGTGCAAAATTTTTATGAATTAAATTTTTTTTATTTAGAATTTAGACTGCAAGCATAATGCAGAAAAAAATCCTAAATAACATAAATTGGGGCAAAAAAAAACAAGCATAAACTCGTAAAGAAAATTCCAGATATGAAAAAGTGCAAAAAAGTTAAAGAAAAAAATTAAATGAAAAAATTTAAAAAAATAATGGAAAAACTTTGTTTTTTTTGTTTTCATTCTTTTATTTTCCAATTTCGTATATTGTTTATACAAAACACTGAGTACATGGAAAGGAAAAACTAAGGAATAAAATGAAGGATATTCCACTATAAAACAAAAAACAAACAAGTGTAAATATGAAACCTCCCTTACAATTGCAAAAGGCAATAGAAATGAAAATCTAAATTTAAAATGGGGCAGCAAATCAAAAACTTTTCCTGATATTTTATTCTCCAAAAGTTGCATGCATTATGTATGAATGCGCACTTTATTTTTTAAAACAAAAAAAAACCTTTCAAATTCTATTTCCAATAGAAAATTTAAAAATGGAAAAATTTGAATTTTTGTAAATTTGTTTTGGTAATTTTAAAGTTGTAGGTGCGACGTGCAATATGGTGCTTTAAATTAAAAAATATTCAAAAATTTTATGTAAAATTAAATTGGAATTGAGATTTTCACTATGTAATGTTATACTAGTGTCTTGAATTCATGTTATGTTAGTTTAAATAGTAAGTTTTTTGTGATGTAGTGGGCCAACTGTTAGTATTATTAAAGTATTGCAACTACTGTAGTTACAATCATTGAAACACAATAGTTTTTTATTTCCATCCTAATGACTTCAATTAAAGCAAATTCATTGTACTAGGAAAAAGAAAATTTAATCTTGTAAATTTCAAAAATAATTTTCCTTTAGGAGTTTTTTTCAAAAAAAGTTTTCTACCACGCTTGAGTATATATTTACTTTCTCTTTATATACACAGTTATTCAGAAAGGTATACAACAACATATATCATTGATTAGGGAAATACCAAATTTCCCTATGAAATTCACCCAATTCCGAAAAATTTATGTTTTTCTTCTTTCAAATCTATCGCATGTTTTAAATTTAAAATCGCATATTTTAAATTAATTGCTTTTCTGGAACACCTCTTCAGTTGCATCAGCCGTACACCAAGTTCAGTTTTTGTAGAAATATGTTGAAAATTTATTAATCCCATTATTTATTGATTATTTATTAGCTTAATAATTTTATCACCATATCATTTACAAACTCCATTGTGTTAAAAAAAATTAAATTTTCCTACATATTAAAAAAAAATTTTTTTCCTATTAAAATAAATGTCAAAATTTGTATGGCATGTCTTTAAAAATTCGCTCCAGCTGGATAATTTTACTAATTTCAGATGCCAAATAGTGTCTAGAATCCGGAAATATTTTTTTCAAATTTTTAAATTGCACCCAATCCGAGAAAAATGCATTTAAAAATTTCAAACCATATAGGTACCATTTCTTATAAAAATTGGCAAAAATTAAAAACCTAAAATTTTTTTTACCAAGAAAAGTTTCGAAAAAAAATTTTTGATTACTAGATTTTTTTTTGTTTTCAAAAATGAAAATTCTATATTTTCTTTTCAAAAATTTCAAATTTTTTAAAATCAATTTTTTTTTTTCAAATTAAAAGTTTATATAGAAATTCGTTTCAATTTTGTTATTATTTGTTGAATTTCAATAAAAATAGTAAAATTCAGATTTTTATCAAAATAACGGCTCTTCAAAATGTCAACTGTTTTTTCGAGTGACTCTGGTCATCAAAAATTGATGGTAGTTGATAATTACAGCGCTAAAAACCAATATAAAAATCAAAAATAGTGAAAAATAGGGCCTTTAAAATCTTAATATAAGAATGGTTGTTGTGCTATACATATCTTCTGTACCATAAAAAATTTTTTCATGTTTGAAGACTTAAATTAAAGC